GCTCTAGATGCTTCGGTTGCGGAGTCACGTCAAACTTCACGTGTTCGTGCATAAGTGGCAACGTGGATGCTTTCTTCGCCTGTGGTTGCTCAAACACAGTTCTGAACAGCGCTCAGAAACTTTCAGCACTCTAGATGTTTCATTTATAAAATTACGTTAAATTTAACATGTCCGTACGTGAGTGGCAACATGAATACTTTCTTCGTGCGGTTGTTTATATAAATACGGTCCTGAGTAACGCCCAAAAAGTTTCAGCATTCAAGCTACTCTGGTTGCGGAGCTACGTCAGATTTCACTTTCGTATACGTGAGACGTACGTGGGACGTGAAAGCGATGTGTGAATCGTTTTTGCATCCATGTAGTCAAAGGCCAGCGTCGGTTATGCTCAGAAAGTTCCAGTCCTCTAGCTGCTTCAATTCTGAAGTTAAAAAAGTGCAGGCGTGAAACTTCCACGTGTCCGTACGTGAGATGCAGAAGGGCTGGTAAACTCAATTTACTTTTACGAGTAAAACAGTTAGCAATAAGTAATGCTGCAAAATTGCAACTCTTTACAACTTCTTGGTGGGCCTAAATCTGGAGTTAGCATGATGCCGGTTTAGACTTTGACGTGTGCGTACGTGGGATCTAAGAGTGCGTGAAGGCTGAATTTGAAATCTTTGAATTAGACGCGGCCAAGGAATATCTCTCTGTGAAATCCTAGCCTTCTAGCTTGCGCCGTTTCCGAAAACGCTTTCCCGCCAAGAAAATTTTCACGTGCCCACGCAGACCCGAGCTCCTATTTTGAGGATAGGAGCCCGCACGTATGTGTAGATTAAGTTACCATAGCTTCAGGCTTGCAGCTTTTGTGGATCTCGAGATGAAAGCTCGTTGCAGACGCACACACAGACACAATACATACACACACACACACAGACAACCCCTAGAAATATGGGTTTTTGCATTGCATAGATGCAAAAAACGCATAAAAAATGTTTTAGGCAGAATACCGTACCAAGTGTGTTGCTCGATCGTGAGTTCACTCTTTCCATCGTCGCTCGCTTTGAGGGATTGTTTAAAAGAGTTCGTTTTGCTAATGATATGTCGGCAGTGACCCTTGTTATAATTATTCTGAAAATTACCCACCGCTTACTTTCACCAGGATTCGTTTCAAAATTTTAAAACTTTATTTCCTAGTGGAATGTTTCCGTAGCAGCAAAACACTCTAATTATACTATTCACGCGAGATACTTTTACAACTGATACGAGATTTATTTTTCGGTTGACGAGCTGAATGTAAGTCGCTACTTTTATTCAAAATCGGGAGAGTTATCATATTTTAACAAAAGGGTTGGTATGACGGTCGAGAGCTAACCTTCCCTCGAATCGATGTTTGAGATAGTCAAACACAGCCTTCTGCATCATATCAGTAACCTCGTAACCTTTCAGTGATGGCCCAACGATTACAACAGGTCGCATCGAAGGCACAACATCATACGGGGGCAAATTCTCCTGCTGAAAATATCACAGTTCAGATTTCAGCACTGGCCATTAAAAATCTACCTAGCCGTGGTGGATTCATCCCGCATCAATATGAGCCGAGAAGTAGTCTCGCGAGATAGAATTTTCACTCTAGCTGCTATTAGAAAGCCAAAAAAGCGTTACATCGAGCAAAATTTCTTAGATTTCTTATCAGAATAAATGAAATGAAAATTTTCCACCTAGCCACGAGTACAAAATAGCGGCTGCCGAAATGCTAGGCCTGCAAAATCAGCAAGCAACTCCATGCAGTTTTATTAATACTAGAAATTCATGTTCCAATGTGGAAACTCAAAAAAAAAAGGAAACCTTTTTAAACATCAGTTTCCGTCGTTCTTTGGCATGGGGTGGCGTGGAGACCAGATCAGTAAGCCTCTTCCCGTGCGCATAATCTTCCTCATCTAATTCCCCTCCTGCAAACATATTCATCTTTCATAGCAGTCAGAAAACTGAAGAAATATTAAGTTCAACGAGCATATATGCAAGTCGAGTTGAAATACTCAGCCAGACGTACACACACATAAACACACACCACGAGTAGTTAGTTACAATATGTGATTTTGCATCTGCACATACATAAAAAAGCGTAAATTAATTTGTTAAGTAAATCCTGCGTCAAGAGAAACTACTTTCTGTGTCCTATCTAAAAAACAAAAGATTCGGCTCCATTAATATTCGCATCTTTTCTTCCTTCTTTTGGGAGTGCTGTGAATATCAGGTTATGGTTGAGCACAGATTCATCAAGGCACGGCATTACCAATAAATTGGAACATCTAATTAGTAATGTCCCAGAGAATTTCTCTTCTAAATTTCATCTAAAAACTACAGCCACCGAATTTTACATGTAACATGAAGAGGACTTAACAATAGAATTGGCCTCTGAGATACACAGAAGTCTGGACGAAAGATTGCAGTGTTAAGCAGCAGTGAGGTACCATAAGGCGAAATCGAAATCACTTATAGATGAGCATGAAACGTTCACTACTAGAGACACTACTGAAGTAGTTCAAGTGAACATAACTTGGAAATAACGAAATATCTCGAAATGTTAAAGTTTTGAAAAATTTCTCAAATTTAGCTCAAATTAGTTCATCCAATGAAGCGAGCAGTCAGGCACTGAACGAACCTAGCCAGTGTTTTATGCGGCTATCTGCAGAAGTATATAAAGTTAGCTTTTTCCGTTTTGAAAAAGGTAGAAGCGAGGCATATAGCTAACAACTGCGTTCTAACCTGGGGTTGGAGGTGTCGAGCCACGCGAACCACTGCGTGGCATCATTTCATCGAGCGCACCCAAATTAGTATTGCTTGCTGACTGTTTGCTGCAAAAGAAACAATGCATATTTCAAGTGAAAAACAGGAAAGTGGACGATAGTCACAGCGCTAGAAATGCTTGGATCCGAACTTGAAACGCTTGAAAATATGGTTCCATATATCTAATGCTACTGAAATTGGGCGTGTAGAATTCGTACTGGCGAATATGAAAAAAAAAAAAAAAAAAAATCCTAGTGAATGAAGATGCACTGGTGAGCATTCTGCGTGTCGCGCATTAATATGTGGGCCTAAGAAACCGAAGATTCTGACCCCTTCTCTAGAATAGCCAAGATCCAGCGTATTCCTGAACTGGAAAAGAGCAGTTGGAAAAACACTGGAATGTGCACGAGAAATTTTAATAATTTTAATAAGACAATTTTAATAAGTCATGTAAAGTATGGCCAATTTTTCAGAGTTCAACTTTCTAGCTACTGTTCTGATTTGTCTTAACCTATGTGCCGGGATAATCCCCTCCGAAAGCACAGAACAAGCAGTTTAGTGAATGAACGAGAGACAATACTCTGAAGTGAACTCATACTTGCACTTCAGTGCATGAAAATGCTAACGTACAATTTTGATCCTTTTGCATTTTGTTGGCGATTGTTTTCGAGCTTCACTGGCGAGGGGATGAAGCCAAGATCGTGCCCCTCCTTCACCAAACGCCCAATCCACCAGTCATTATTGTACTTCTGCAAATTTTTCGTCCAAATGCAAAATAACTTCACCGAAGAAGCTTTATTTCTGCAGAAGGACGCCTCTCATAATATTTCAGTGATAACTTTTCGAATTCAGAAAGCAAATATCCTTATTATTCGAACATAACAAACTTCAGTGACCTAATGATAGTGCCATTGTGCGCTTAAAAAGCAGGGCAAATTCATGCCAATAAGCGTTTTTGCATTTGCATAAATTTGTAAAAATGCTTGAAAATGACCTTAACCACAAAAACACTGTTGCTGGAACCACTGGCAGATCCAAGACGGAAGAGGGGGGGGGGGGGGGGGGGGG